GCGCAGGCGCTGTGGGCCGTGGGGTGCTCTCAGTCCTCCGGATGAACTCTGCAGAAAGGAAGAGCCTGCAGTCAGAGCGGCCCTGGCCCCCCAGCTCTCCGTCCAGGATCGCAGACCCCAGGGAAAGATGTCCTTATTCTACCCTCCACTCAGACACCGCGGCTGCGTGCCTCTCTGGTCGCCCTGCCTCCTGGGAGTCCCCGCCCCTCACACTGTAAACTCGGGGCTTCTCAGAGCAAGTGACCCTTTCCGGTTCCAATGGTTGGTTTAGGGGGGAAGCTGAGACCCTCTGATGGGAGGAGGGGGACACGGCAGACGGGCTGGATGAGAACCAGTCTGCCCAGGGCCTGCTGCTCAGGGTGCAGCCTCCCGCCAGGCCCCTGGCTGCCGGCTTCTCCCGCTGGGCCTCTTGCTGCTCCCTCTGCCTAGACTCCTCTCCCCCGCCCCACCCCACCCCCCTCCGCCCTGGTGCACCCTTCCTCTCCCTTCCAGGCTCAGCCCTCAGCCTCTGCTCCGAGACCGCCATGCCCGCATCCTGCACTGCCCTGGCTCCCCATGGCACCAGCACACACGCTGTCACTGGGCCTGTGCTGGGGTCCAACCCCAGCAGGTCCAGGGGTCCCCAAAGGTGTGGACGGAGTTGGCGAAGAAGGAATGACACAGAAACAGCATTCAGTTGATCAGCAGCCTAGCCAGGATCTCTAGCCAAGTTCTGGTCAGGTTCTCCAGCCAGGTTCAGTCACCAGGTTCTAGTCCAGATTCTCTTGCCATGTTCTATCCAGGTTCGGTAGCCAGGTTCTGTGGCCAGGTTCTTCAGCCAGGTTCTCTCACTAGGTTCTGTTTCTAGGTTCTATGTCCTGTTGTCTTGTTACATCTGTATTTATACCAGTTGATTCCAATCCTATCAATCTCTATTCCAAAGATTAGGGCATTTCTTATCTCCATTCCAGGGAGTAAAGATTTAAGCGTGATTGTTTGTAGTTAAAGTGATTAAGTACCCGCCTGGCACTTAGTTAAGGGGTTTTATTCCCTCCCTAACTTCAGGGGAAAATCCCTACCTGGGGAAACAACCTTTCTTGGAGAGGTGACGTTGGTTAAAACACATAGCGCCAAGAAGGTGAGCAAACATTAAGAACAGTATGTCATATACGCCAGGTCCCTTGAAACATATGCTGTGCAGATGTTCCTTTCCTGCAGCGACTGTGTCAAGCAGCAAGGATGGACCGGCTCCCGGCAGGCCTGGGACGCTAAATGACATGTCTGTGTGTCCCGGCCTGACCTGGAGCGGGTCCCTCCAAGAGTGCCGGAAACTGCGGAATGAGTGGCTGCAAAACTGGCCCAGGCCCGAAGTCACCTGAGGCTGGACTTACACCCCCAAAACCCTGAGCTCCTCTCTCCCCCAGCTTCCTCCACCCGGGGTCCCCTTCCTCGGGGCCAGGCACCCCGCCCGCCCAGGGGCCTAGCCTTGCCCTCCTCCTGCAGCCCCCATACCCAGTCTGCCAACTGGTGACCTGCTGGGTACACTCGCCCTCCTGAAGTAGCTATCCTTTGGGCCACAGGGTGGTTTTTTAAAGCCAACATTTTCAAATGAGGAGACGTGTAGATAACAGCTCGGAAAGGCGGACACCACATCCATCTTGCTCAGCATGACCTCCCCAAAATGAAGCGCACGGAAGTGCTGTGAATGAACTGAATAATGAACGGACGGGTTTCCTGCTTCTCCTAAGAATGGAAAGGTCTGGCCCGACCAGTGCAGTTCAGTGGCTGAGCGCTGACCTATGAACCAGGAGGTCACGGTTCGAGGCACAGGCCGGGGTTGCGGGCTCCATCCCCAGCGTGGGGCATGCAGGAGGCAACCAATCAATGGTTCTCTCTCATCATTGATATTTCTATCTCTCTCTCCCTCTCTCTTCCTCTCTGAAATCAATAAAACTATTAAAATAAAAAGAAAAGAAAGAAAGAATGGAAAGATCTGGCAACACTGGGCCTCGCTCCCACTGAGCCTGGCCCCATAGAACAGCCCCTTCCTCAGGGCAAGCCTCCCCAGGTGGCCCCTGATCCCGAGGGCAGTCAGTGGTGGCCTTGCCTGGCCCCTCAGGTCCTGAAGCCTGGCACCCCTCCCTGCTTCCCTCCCTCTGCACCAACCTTGTCAAAGTGGAAGCATCCTATGGCCGGCTCAGCCCCGATGCCCCCTCCCCTAGGGACCCTGCACCCAGGGTAACTGTCCAGTATCCTTTGCTCACACATGGTACACCCTCTTCCTCTGTGCCCCTCGTGGACTCTGAGGGTGCTTCCCTGGAAACGGCTATTTCTCCCTTCGCATGCCCCCTCTGAGACCTGCAGCCCCTTTGCGCCACCCACCCATGGCCTGGGACTGGCATACATTGCCCACTTTAACTGAGCATCTAATGTGTGCCCAGCACAGGGCCCGGCAGAGGGTCCAGCTGGGAGGGCCCACGCTGGGTGTGGGCTGTAGGAGCGTCCCTCCCCCACTGGGTCCCTGTTGGTGGACACTTACTTTCTTTGGGCACAAAGCGGATGAGGCGGCTCTTCACCGTCACCTGGGCGGGCTGGATCTGACACTTGCCGGGGGGTGCCCGTCTGCCAACACACAGAAGGTCATGAGCCCGGCCCTGCGAGCCTACCCTGAGCCTGTCCTCTGACATCGCACCCCCGCCTCCATGGCCAGGCAGGGAGGGGGAGGGCCCATGTGCTTCCAGGCCTGGGCAGGTGACACCGGTGTCCATTTATGGAGCACCTACCGTGTGGCCCAGTGTCCCCACGTGCTCCATGCCCCGGGATCTACAGGAGTCCAGTCCCAGGACAGGAATCCCTCATCCCACTTCTGCATGAGGCCCGTGGCTCATCTGAGCCGCTTCTAACTCCGAGCGTGGCCTGTCCTCTGAACCTGGTCAGGTGTCACTCCTCCTCCTCCTCCCACAGCCTGCCAGTCCGACTCCTGTCACTGTAACCTGCCCTGGCCCCAGCCCACAGCCTTTGAGGAGGGTCCCTGCCCCCCGGGTTCCTGGGTTTCTGGTGATGCAGAAATAGAGGCTCCTCTGCCAGCAGGAACCAGGGAGCGATTCAGTCCATTTAAAGGAAAAAGGCAGAGAGAGAGTGTGTGTCCCCGGGTTGGCAGCAGAGCTGGGGGACCTGGGACCCGGGGGCGTGGGGGGCGGGGGGAGGCGCGTAGAGAGTTGGAAGAGAAAAGAGTCAGAAAAGGTTGCCAGGACTATGAATTGGGCTCTTCTGGCATCTTCGAGGGGCACCAGGAAGGAATGGAATTTCGTTTTAATTAGTTTTTGGCTCTCGATCTGTGAGTCTTTGAATGGGACCCGCCGATTCTGGGCTGACCACGTGGGTACAGACTTCAATAGGTTCCACCAGCTTAGGGGAAAGCCCAAGGGGTGAAGCAGCCACATGACACGAGGGGCCTCCAGACGGGCCTGGCCAAAGAGGAAAGCCGCGGAGGGAAACCGTGGGCCTGTACTCCCCCCCACACACACACACTCCCGCCCCCAGAATGAAGAAGCAGGCAGCACTTGTCAGAGCCGGAGACGGTGGGTTTTCTGGAGGCCCCGAACCCAAATACTATCCACACGCCCCACACAGGCCCAGCAGGGGTTTGTTCCTGAAGGAAATTATGAAAAACATTTTTGTTGTGCAAAAGGTAGGCGATACACCCAAAGATGCCGCATGAATGCGGTTATGTGTGGGCGGTAATGGACAGCCCCGCCCACCCCGCCACTCCTCATGCCTTCGTTTGCCAAAGGTTCTGAAATGGGGCCTCGGGCAACATGCTGCCAGGCAAAGAAACACGTGTATTCCAAAAGAGAAAAATGAGAGGGATGAGGAGGGTCAGGGATGGAGGGAGGGAGAGAGTCTGGCCGGTGTCTGCCTCCTCCCGCACACGAGACCGTGAGCAGAAGCGACCTCTGCCCCGCCGCCCAGGGAGGGAGGGAGAGAGGGAGGGAGGGAGGGAGTCTGGCCGGTGTCTGCCTCCTCCCGCACAGGAGACAGTGAGCAGAAGCGACCTCTGCCCCGCCCGCCGGATAAGCCAAGATAAGGCAGTGACGGTCCGAGGCGCATCTGGCGAGAATTAGGTGCTCCGTGCACGTGACGTTTCCTTAGAGAAGCATCTGCTCTAAACGCTGGAAACGGCCAGGAACGGGGAAGATAGCTAGGGCACAATGACTCAACAGAAAATTACGCGGCCATTAAAACCGGTCCTTTTGGGGGGGATGCAACGTGGAAATGTTTATGCAGAACGGGGGAAAGGAACGAGGGAAAATGCAAAGTTGGCAGGTGCCCTTCCACACGGAGGTACTCCTGGCGCTGCCCACGTAAAGAGGGGAGGCGGAGGTTTTTCTTGAGAAATATGTGAATAATGAACAGGCCCTAGCCGATGTGGTTCAGTGGATAGAGCATCAGCCTGCAGACCCATGGGTCCCGGGTTCGATTCCAGTCTAGGGCACGGACCTTGGTCGTAGGCTCGATCCCCTGGCCCTGGCTGTGCAGGAGGCAACCAATGGATGCCTCTCTCTTATTGATGTCCTTCTCTCTGTCTCTCCCCCTCCCTTCCACTCTCTCTGAAAATCAATGGGAAAAATATCCGCAGGCGAGGATTAAAAACAAAAAATAACAGTAATAATGAACAGACCTGTGCTTTAAGGGAAAAATGCGGTAGGCAGGGATGTCTGCAAAGCTGTCACAGACCAGAGGAAGCTAAGGAGACGTGATGACTAATGTAATTCTGGAACAACAAAAAGAATCTGAGAGAAAAACTGGAGAAATTCTTTTTAAAAAGTGCAGTCACCTCAATTGTAAAAAGAAGTACGGAGTCTAATGAATAGTAATGTGCCAATATTGCTCGTTAATTGTGACAAAGGTGCTCTAATAATGTAAGACATGTAAACAATAGAGGGAAATAAATAAATTAATACATAAATAAGAAGGGTGAGGGGCATATGGGGAAAACTCTGTATTATCTTTGCAACTTATTTGTAAACCTAAAACTATTCTAAGTTCTAAGGGCTTTCAGTTTTTTAAAAATGTGATGATGGGGCTTGTGCTTATGAGCGCCCATCAGTGTGTTTGACTCCCTCCTGTCGTGGACAGAGGCGGACTTTGCAGTCCGGGTTTGAATCCTGGATCTGCCTCTCACCAGCAGGATGGGCTTGTCTAGTCACTTCCCTCTTTGGGCCTCAGTTTTCTCATCTGGAAAATGGGGACATGAATAACCTCCACCTGAGGGAGTGCCAGAGAGGGAAACTGCGGTAACGGAGGTGCGGGCAGCGCCGGGGGTGTGCCTCACCTGGAGGGGTCGATGATCTTGTAGATGACCCCACGAGCTGCTGTGGCACTCGGCACGCCCGTGGACATGAAGTACAGCTCCCCTTGGACAAGAAACAAGGCAGGGAGTGAGCACGCTGCCTGAAGGCTGTCCCAGCAGCCCCACACCCCCACCTCGGGCTCTGAGACCAACCCCGACCTCAGGAGGCGAGCCCTGAGGGGTCCAGGCCCACACAGCTCACCAGCGCCCAGAACTGAGACAGCCCCAGAACGGCCGCTGACGTGCCCCAGGGCCTCTGTAGCTCTCCAGGGCAGTGGCTACTCTGCCGGACCACCCAGACTCGACCCTCAGAAGCCCCTGGTCACCTGCCTGGGTTCCACGCCCAGCACCACACACCTCTGGGCACAACGAGGGTCCATGTCCCAGCTCCTTACTAACTGCCTGCTGGGTAATGCGGGCACACCTGGCTCTCCGAGCCTCAGCTTCCTCATCCCAAAATGAAATGCCTCATAGGGCTGTCATTTGGATCTATTTTTATTGACTTTAGAGAGAA